GAAATTTTATATGTCTAAAAATTAGAAGTTTGTTGAGTATAATTACAGGTATTCTACTCAAGGTGGGAGGAAATGTGGTAAGTTAAAATCCGAAGTGAAACTTTTAGAAATACGAACTGAAACTTAAATGTTAGCGCATGCGCGCATCCATTGGATAACCTCCCCCAAATACTTCTAGATTAGTTGGCTTTACGTACGAGATCTGGATGTAAGATGTTATGTTTGTCTGCTTGTTAATTGTATACCATTGTTGATGTTGTTTTGTTGAATAAAATATGTTATTAAAAAGTGCTGGTATTATCCTGGACCTTCTAAACAGTGACAATGGTAATAGGAAGTGTGAAAAAGTCGTCAAACGTGGTCATGAAGACATGAAGAGCGTTACTTGATAAAACAGTGAAAAAAATGATGTGATCCTTTATTTGATAATACTTAAATATTAGCTTTGCCGGAGTATAGGGATTAGATCAGTGATTCTCAACCACTGTGCCGCGGCACTTTTGTGTGCCGCCATATTCTTAAAATGTGCAGCCAAATATTAGAAATGATACAATAAAAATTACTATGCTTTTTTTTATTATGAGTAAAGTTTAAATTAAAGAAAATTGTATATATATAAGTATATATATATATATATATATATAAAGTCTCCGATTCAAATCGTGATTTTTTTTCTCCAGTTTTCAAATTTTCATGTGGTGGCTTGTGAACAATAACCACTTTCTAGGGTCATTCCATTGCGAAATTCCATTGCTGAAAACCATTGCTACAAATCAATTTCTCCCTATCATATTTTGAATAACTTTACCGTTTATTAATTATGGAAATAATCCGAAATTTTATTGGCGTAAAGTTGGGTACCAACGGCAGCTAGATGCATGAATTATGGAATTGTATGCTTGTGTATTCACATTTAAGGCCCAGATTAGTTAAATTGGGTTAATCCTGGGTATAAATATTAAGAAAGAAAATTATTTTAGCAGCAAAAAATCTCTCGTCGAGGATTAGAATGTAAAATAAAATTAACTGGCAATTGAAAGTGCAAATTAATTACCAATGGCTTCTGTCGCCGAAATGTTGTCAACGCCGAAATCACTCTACGGATTCCAAAATGCAAGTGCAAAATCGCTAAAATCAATAACTCACCGAATCTGAACAAACCTACAAATACAGATTGCAAATATATTTAACACCATGACTAACATCACCATGACGCTAAATTCACCGTGTAATGTTGCCAATGCTAGGATTAAGCCTAATATTAGTCCTGAGTTTCCCTACAAGAAAACTATCACAAACAATTTCTTTCATTTATCGATATCTTACAATTTCTACCATTTAAGAATATTTTTCAATAAAACCAAACGTGTGTTTTGTGATTGGTTTGGTTTCAAAATTGCTAATAGAATCTTGCCACCGGAGCACTGTGGGCCAGAAGACCATGATCCTTGGTAAAAAGTCGAAAATTATACATTAGTCTTGAGTTTCCCTACAAGAAAACTATCACAAACAATTTCTTTCATTTATCGATATCTTACAATTTCTACCATTTAAGAATATTTTCCAATAAAACCAAACGTGTGTTTTGTGATTGGTTTGGTTTCAAAATTGTTAATAGAATCTTGCCACCGGAGCACTGTGGACCAGAAGACCATGATTCTTGGTAAAAAGTCGAAAATTATATTTTCAACTAAAATATGTGTAGGCAGTTTTAATATAGCCCAAATTAAGAATTCATAATAATTCCAAACATTATAATTTACTTTATGGACCGACAAGAGTACAATGTAATGAAAAATAGGCTAAAAAAATTTTTTTAAATGTAACTTATAAATTTTTATTTCAGAAATATATATAGGAATTTCACCTTACTGTTACATTTTTATCAGAGTAATTAGTGTTAAATTACAGTAAAATTTTTCATGAGCAATCATTAGACTTTAAATGACCAACAAATAGCCATATCAAAAATCTCAGAGCAAAAAGCATTCGAATCGTCAACCATTTTTACCTTTCAAGCTATGCTCAAATCACTTTTTATTTAGTCTCTTAAAGACATTGTTCTCAGTTAAGTCTCTTAAAGATATTGTTTAAGTTATTGACAATTCTTCCAATCAATTTGTTAAACCTTTGTACCAACTCGAAAACATTTAAGAGAAATAACCTGCTAAAAGCATTTGTCTCCTTTTTAGCATAAACAACCATTGGCTAGCTAAATAGTGTCAATTTTACATAAAGAATCATCAGACTTAAGATGACCAACAAATAGCCATATCAAAAATCTCAGAGCAGAAAGCATTCGAATCGTCAACCATTTTTACCCTACAAGCTATGCTCAAATCACTTTTTTTCGTTTCTTAAAGACATTGTTCTCAGTTAAGCATATTATTCACAATTCTTCCAAACGATTTGTTAAAAATTCGTACCTACTCGAAGTCATTTAAGAGAAATAACCTGCTAAAAGCATTTATTTCCTTTTTAGCATAAACAACCATTAGCAAGCTAAATAGTCTCGATTTACCATAAAGACTTTTCAGAATAAAGATGGAAATGAAAAGAATTTATGGATGAGAGGTCAGTTAAACAAAGAAATAATATACGGCAAGCTACTGGAAAGATGTCTTGATAATAGTATTTANAAATAATATACGGCAAGCTACTGGAAAGATGTCTTGGGTGTCTCTTACTCTTGGGTTAATATTTGAAGTGCGGTAGAATTCTTTTCTTCACTCAGTAGTGTGTTTACATTGGCGACGTGGCGACTACGTTGTCGGTTGGCGTCTCTTGTTGAATTTTTGCTCGAGGAATATGATATTGAGAAAAGAGAATGATCGATAGTTAGTTTTACTAATGGGAAGGAATGATTTGCGTTCTGAAATCGCTAATGGATGGAAAAACTCTTTCATTCAGTTAAATGGGTTAATCGCATCGAATTTCTTTATGTTAGTCTTTCTTCCCTCTCGATGATAATTGCTCAATGATTTCGTAATATCGATTGCGTCGAGTTGTCTGGTATTAAATGTGTTTATTCAACAGTATATAAATTGTAGTGTACTCAGAAAATGGAGAATCATTAACGAGTTCAAAAAGAAACGAGAATAATACATTTTATTTTCTCAAAATGCAAGCAACTATTTCTCGATTCTTAAATAAATAATCAAACAGCAGTAATTAAACCCCAGAAGCATGTGCGCTAAGTCTAAGAAAACGCGAGGCATATCTTATATAAATTTGAGTAAGAAAACTTTCAACTTGGTTGAGTATGAAACTTGGTGCAATATTAGAAAGAGTAAAACTCTCTACAATAAAAGCGGAAACTAACAAAAGATAATAGCGAATAGTGCAGTATTGGAAAGAGTAAAACTTGAAGGGGATTAAATTATCGACAATGTCAACCTTCATCTATCAAAAAGTACCTCATGATAGAATCAAGTTAACAAGTCTTATATGCTAGGGAATTGGCATTTAATATTTATAGTGGTAGTTACGCCACTTCCGTAGATCACCATTGAAGGAATTTAATTATCGACTGAGTCATCCTTCATCTATCAAAAGGTACCTCATTATAGAATCAAGTTAACATGTCTTATATACAAGAGAAATGGTATTTAATATTTATAGTGGTAATTATGCCACGTCCGCAGGACAACATTGAAGGGGATTTAATTATCGACTATGTCAACCTTCATCTATCAAAAGGTACCTCATCATAGAATCAAGTTAACATGTCTTATACACTAAGGAATTGGTATTTAATATTTATAGTGGTAGTTACTATATCGCAGGTCACCATTGAAGGGGATTTAATTATCGACTATGTCAACCTTCATCTATCAAAAGGTTCCTAATGATAGAATCAAGTTAATATGTCTTATATACTTGGGAATTGGTATTTAATATTTATTATGGTAGTTATGCCACTAACTCAGTACAATAGAAGGAGAAACTAACAAGAGATTATAGTGAATGGTGCAATATTCGAAAGAGTAACACTCCCTTCAATAAAAATGAAAAACAGAAGATGATGATGATAACGGACCATGTGTCAAGCGATGCT